TCTCACACATATGCTTTTGTTTTGATCTTTCAGATATCCAAATTCCAAGATATCTTGCTAGTTCTTCAGGCTTCTTTCGGGTCACCAGTTCTTTCTTTGGTCCAAATCTTATTCTATTATCCGCTATTTCCTGACTTGCTAGGAAAAGCACCATTAGCTCTGACTTCTTCGTGTTTATTTCTATATTATTGATTTCAAAGAACTCATTTGCTATATTTGTAATCTTGTCTAGCTCCTTCTTATTTCTTGCAATATATACTGTATCATCTGCGTATACGAGTACTAGCACTCTTAGATTTTGTATTTCCACTATATTTCTACTTATGTTTTTGAGCTATGTTACTTCTATAGTGTAGCTAGTTTCTTTGTATTCTTGTATATATATCAGTAATGGATCATAAAATATCCTCCAAACTAGAGGGGAGATTACTTCTCCTTGATCTATACCGTCTCCAGCTCTAAATTTTTCTGTATTTCCATACCCTGTAATTACCTCCATTTCTCTATTTCATACAGACTTATTATAAAGTCTTGGGTTTTCTGAGATATCTTGATTCTTTTTAAGGCTAGTTTCAGCATTTCTATATTAACTGAGTCGAAGGCTTTCTTCATGTCTTGAAATAAGATCCAGAGTTCTTTTTTATTTTCTCTTACGTCCTCTACTATACTGTTTAATATCTGTATAGGTCCTGCTGTTCCCTCTTCTGGTAGGCCAGCATAGTTTTTTCCTTTCAAGATCTCTTTTTCCTTTAACTTTCTTCCTAGTCTGTTGTTTAGTACTCGTACTACTGTTTTTCTGAATGTTCATATCGGCCGGTTTAATTTTTAGGGTTCTAAAATTATACTATAATATCTCTAAATTTATTAAAATTGTACCTCATTTTATATCATGTGAGCATAAAAAATCATGTTATGTGCGCATAAAGACTCCTCAAAAATAAACTATTTATTATTGAAAAATGAGCAAACATGTTCGGAACCCATTATTCAAAGACTCAACCCATTGTCTTTTTGGCCAATAGGTATGTAGCATATTAGAATTTATTTAACAAAAGTACTATTTATTTATTACTTATTTAAAACATATTTAGTTATATCTAATTCTGTTACTAAGTCAAGATTTATCTGTTTTCTTTGTACACATCCACGATCTTATAAAACTCAAAGTGGTCTTCAATGGCATGAAACAATAAAATATAAAGAACATAATATGATACCTTCTCATATATTACCGATACCTACTTATGAGCTTGATCATATTAAGAAAGTAATGGTACGAGAAATTTAAAAGCGTCTTAAAAAGCATCATCATACTGTTGGTAGTCAAGTTTTTTCTCTACATTGTAGTGAAAATGCTTTTGTAGAAATATTTGGTAAATATCTTACGCGATATTCTCCATGTGGCAATTTTTATCAATGTTATTTTAGCGGTGATAATTCATATGATATATTAACAAATATTTTTGATGATGCTATGTGGGGTGAACAAGATTATGGTAATGGCCAACTTAGTTGGGTTAAATTAGTAGATGAAATGAATTGTAATTCTCGAACTGAATTATATATTGAATGGTCTATGAAAGGAATTTATAATATTTCGGGTCATAACTGTTATACTGGAAATGTAAAATTTAGATTTTTAACTGATAACGCAATGTTTAAACAATAAAAAATTATTTTATTAGAGCAAATTTAATTCATAGTATAGATTATTTTTATACATAGTAATATGTATAAACCCACTAAATTTTATTTAAATTATTTATTGTCAAATTTTTAATTTTTGTTAGATAACTATACGAATCAACTATATTATAGATCTAAAATAATATTGCTATTACAGTATTAAATTAGATTTAGTTGTATTTTAATATTAAGATATATACTGTATTATTTACTCTTGTATATAATAATAAAATCATGTATATTTTTATACTAGTATATTGCAAAAGTATAAATGCACATTTTGTTTTTAATTAAGTAACTTCTAAATAAAGTATGCTATTTGGTGTTCTCTTAGGAGGGGTTTAATAAAAAAAAAAATTAACTCAACGTTTACTACTAATAAGTGTCGCATTCTACTAATTCCACTTTAATAAGATTCTGATACTAGTTATTCAGATTAAACCTTTTTATATTGCAAATCGAGTACTTGCATTCTAATATACACAAATATGCATATTACATATATCACTGCAAATACAATAAAAATCTTTGTCTACATCTATTAGAACATTTGTATTAAACTCTTGTTCTAATTTAACATCGTCTAATTTAAACAATACAAGACAATTAGCAATCAAATTCATGCAAAAGGCATATAAATAAAGAAAATAGGTATCATAACTTACAAGAATATATCCATTATTACAAATATATTAAAGCGCTAGCTTGATTCAAAACAATATAGGAAAAATGATCCCAAATTTGACTAATATGAAGCCAAACTTTTTTATGCACTTTATTTTTAAAATTAAATTCATCATTTACTAGTTTTTTTTAACTTGCTAATAAACTAAATGTAAATACTATACCAATCTTTTAACGTTTGGTTATAAGGAGCTATTTAACGTTTTCATATAAAGGTTCTTCTATATAAAAAAAAATTATACTAAATATAATAACTAATATATATGATAGATTATAAATAACAAACCCTTAATTCATTAACATCAATTTCTATATGATTAGCGACCTAAGACAACGTACTTTCAACAATAAATACTGTTTGAGGATATCCAAACCCTTTAAATATTATAATATTAGATTAATAAAATACGTCAATATAAATTAATATTAAATAAAAAAATAGATAATATATCAAACATTATTAATTTGACGCATACCTTTTATAATAAGTCAGCTATATGTATTGTCCAATATTGTCCAATATATTTTGTATTAGATTTAAAATCTTTAAAATTCTTTTGTATAATAATAGTCTTAGTAATGATATTTTAAAAGTTTTTAAAATCTATCGAATAAATTCTTTGGGCAATTTTATTTGTACTAGCAAAATAGATTTTGTTCATAGTATAAGAATAATAAGATTAGAACTAAAGGTGAAAAAGTGTTTTTTACTAGTTGAATTGAAGATCGATGTACTATTTTTATATGTAATAACAATTGTAAATATATACAAAATCTTTATTACAGATTATTTATATAAAATGAACAATTAAATGCCTTATATTTGTTTGACCCTATTTCTATTAGCATTTTCCATTGTATTCATCTTTCAATCTAATTTTGTATATTATTATTTTGCTTCAATATTAATGTCTTAGAACATCAAATCTTACTGTAACAAACTAAAGTTTACTCTAACCGATATTGCGTAGTTTTTTTAATATAACTAGAAGTATTTGCTTGTCAAAAAAATAGTTGCCGATTTTTATGCTCCAATATTTCTAAAACTGCTGACTTCCTAGAACGCTCATGTCCACCATCCTTTAATGTATTTTGAAAATATCGACATACTTGAATATGGTTTTTTTTTTCTAAAGCTGAACATGAAAAAGCCATTAATCCTAAATCTTTATGAATATCTATGAACTCAGGAATATGATAAACTAAAGAGTGCATATAGGGTGTACAATCTGTTGCTCGATATAATCCCCATACAAAGTTTCTATTTGGGTGTCCTTGAGATGGAGTTAAAAAGTATTCAAGCCATTCAATTGCCTTTTTTTTAAAACTATTGCCACTTATTTCGTTATGATCTAAATCATTATATAATTTAGCAAATCCATCTCAAAGTTTTTTTAGTTGATTTTGTCTAATTATTGGTAAATAATGAGTGCTAATATTTTTAAAATTAAAATTATATAAAATTTTAAGTTTGTCTGGGCCCATTAATGATATATAACATAATTTTTTCGTATTTTTATCAGTCCAAAATTGGAAATTCTCCTTAATTCATTTCATTTCCACTAATATTTTCTGCTAAATATTTTTATCCAATTCTTTATTTCTATCATAGGCGAATAAGCATGCCGAGTGTTTAGGAAGTGTTATATGAGTACCAATGATAATAGATGAAATATCCTTAATAATTTTTGTCATAACAGTGTTATTGGATGCTGAGTTTGATTCTGATATGATAGCAGAGTTATCGGGTGTTAAGTTTGATTCTGATATGGTAGCAGAGTTATTTGGTGTTGAATTCGATTGTGAGATGATTGAAGAGTTATCGGTTATTGTACCTGAACTATCAGTTATTATATCTGGTTCTAACACACAAGTACATAATATACAAGATTTAGATAAGCTTGAAAGCTCATTAATTTTTACAATACAATAATCATTCTTTTCAAACTTAGAATATTTCTTGCTTCTAAGTATAACCGGATAATTGATTGGATCAAAATTGAACTGCGCAGGTAGACCGACAATAATCCAACATAACTTAGGAGTTAAACTTTTTTTTTTAGTTTTATGCTGAATTAAATGAACAATAATTTCGGGGGTTTCATCGTCTACATAGTTTACATGTAAAGAAAATACACTTTTATCTTCGCCCATAATCGATGCAAAAATCTTACATTCTTTTATTTTTATTTCTCCCAACTCTTCAATATATGAGCTCAATGGATAAATAAATGGCTTTAATTTTGAAACATCAAATTTTATCTTGTCAACATGTGCTATATTTTTCGTATGCAAAAATGAGTTATATATTAAAAACTTAAATAAATATCTTAATTTAAATGATTGATTACATACCCTTTAAAATTGGGTGACCTAATACGTCAAAAACTTGTTTTTGCAATCCATCATCTAGTAATTCAAATATCAAACCAATTTCATCGTAATCAATTATATCCCAAGTGGTGTGATCTTCTAGAGAATCTGACCAAGGTTTTATAGAATTATCTTGGCTATCATATTTTTCTATAATTCCGCCGACAACTCGAATTTTTACTATTGATTCAGAGTTGAATGCCTTTCTGTTATTATTGGTTCTGCGTGCAATATTTAAATTAACATTAGCTTCGGCGACGTCCTGTGCAGAAAGACCAATCTTGCTGTTTAAATCAGTTTTTTTAGTTTTTGAACTTTCATCTATAATACCGTAATAGTTAATATTAATGCTTAACATGAGATTGTTCACTAGTCATCATGATACCTACTTGAGTTACTGGTATATGTTTTTTCCTTAACTATTGCACCTCCGAATGCGAAGCTGCGTGCATAGAATTGGCCATATTTTTTTGATATTTCTCGAAGGCTTTTGAGTTTTTTGTTATCAGTACTCATAGCCAATGCGTCTTTAACAGCTTTAATAAAATTTTCAGTTAGTGAAATGCATGATTTTTGAAGGATAACTATTGCCTTTTTCCATTTCTGATGAGAATATTTAGTAAATTCTTCACGATTACTAAGCATTTGTTTAGAACATTCTTGTGATAGTCCAAAAGATATGGAAAGCCAAAGTGATTTTGCCGAAACACTTCCACCTGATATGAGATTTCTTTCACAAAAAGCTTCTAGTTTATGATTGCATTCCTTTTCCTCTTCAAAATATTTATTTACCAAATCCAATTTTTGAATTTCGTTTACGTTGATCTTAAATGCAGATTCAGAGGCATCTTTAATGAACTTATTGTTTTCGTCAAATGTAAACCCATATTCACATTTCATGATTAGTTGAGTCCAATCGTACTTCGTTTTTTGGATTATATACAAAATAGGTTCATTATTATTGGTTTGCAATATCTCATATAATTTAGTGCTTGATTCACTTGCGGGAGGAATTTGATTATTTTTTTTATCTAAAAAATAACAATTAGAACCCATATGAAGTGCATCCCTTCTTCTCATGAGATTGTCCCGAATTTTTTCAAGCGTCACTTCTCTAGGCAAATTAAATGCAAAAGGTCCATCCTTCAAATCGAGGCTGTTTGATGCGACTATTTTAATGCTGATATTAATTTCAGTATTATTTTGGGGTAGATTTGTTGCATTGTTCATAGAGGCGAAATATAAATGTATGTATGTACTGTGGCAGATTAAAATGAAATTCAGATTAAAATGAAATAATAATATAAAATCTCGAAAAATAAATTTTTCTGGTATTTATTTTTAGGGTTAGGGGTTAGAATTAGAAGTTAGGATTAGAGTAAAATATATTAAACAAGTATAAGTAGGTTTTAGAAAGTTAGAAGGTTGAATAGAAAATGTAGATTTCATTTTAAATTATGATCTGCGACATGTACTGTACGTACACAAGGTTATGAATATATTGAATTTATTGTTACATTTTTAACGTGTGACTAATCTACCGTGCTACAGTGAAAATAGATATGAACTGTTTGTATAACAATTTCTATTCTAACGATAATGTCAAAGAACACATCGACAGAAAAGCTTGAAGATGCTATTTCAAAACAAAATATAAATTTTATTGAATATTCAGAATTTCATAATTCAGAACATATTGGTACAGGTGGTTTTGCAGTTGTGCGTAGATTTGATTGGAAAAAAAAACGGTTTAACTGTCGCAATTAAATATCACCATGATTCAGATGATTCTTATGCAGATATTGTTATTAATGAGGTATTTTTTTAAAAAAAATATCGAATGTTGAATGTTATCTATTAGTTTTATAAATAAAATCTTTAATTTTCATACACAGATTCAAATATTGCAGAAAATTTGTTGGCATCCGAACATCATACAATTTTACGGAGTAACTAAAGGTGTGAGGGTTTATATGAATGCACTGGAAGCACCCTGAGTGCTGCCAAGTAAGAATTTATGTATTCACTTTTTCACTGTTCAGCTTAAGTTCGAAAGAATTGTGTATTACCCAATTGAATTACGTTCAATCAGTGTCCTAATCATTTCGGCATTTTTATCTTGGAAATATGTTATCAAAACACAGACTGTAGTGATTAAATTGCGTATATAACAATTCTTCAAAGGCTAAGTCTGCACAATGTAAATTTAAATTTATATTCTTCATTTGGCAGCATTCATATGGGGTCTTCCTCAAAAATACCTTATGGTACACTTATAATCTCAAATATTATATAACATGCAAAGTTATTTCTTTCAGATTTAGACGATAATTATGGTATAGTTTACAGCTTGCTGAGGATGGAGACTTGCGCCAATACTTAAGAGACAATTTTTCAAAGTTAACATGGGCAGATAAGATACACATAGCAAAACAAATAGCTCAAGGTCTTGAATGTTTACATGATAATGGCATAATTCATGGATCACTTGTAAGTTATATGTCTATTGATTTATACGGATTACTTGTAGATAATTTGAATTAAAACTAATTTTAATAAGTAGACTCCTAAAGATATTTTGGTTCACAGAGGTCAAGTTATGATAACAGGCTTTGGTTCTTCTTCCTATGAGGCATTGGCACCTTGTGATGACAAACTTTTTGGAATACCAGCATACATGGATCCTCAAATTTTCATAAAAGAAGATTATAAAATCAATAAAAAATCAGATATCTATAGTCTAGGCGTTATTTTTTGGGAAATTTCTAGCGGAAAAGTACCGTTGACATCAATGAAGGATGTGTCTATGATGTTTATAGTGGTTAATATCGCACAAGGACTAAGAGAAACTCCTGTAGAAGGCACACCATCAGAATATGTTGAACTTTATAAACTATGTTGGGATCAAGACTCAAATGGAAGGCCAGATATTAAAGAGGCATTAAAAATCTTGAAAAAAATAGATGAAAGTCTGAATATACCTGCACATGTTAAAGATCCCGAGAAGTGTCCAAAAACTGATATGACAAAAGGGCAGAAGATAGATAGTCATCTTAAGATAAAATCTGACGAAATAGTTAGTAATCAGTATGATAAGGCAGATGATAATATGCATGATATTGTTGAAAAAATTGATAACTTCAAATTATTTCAAGAAAAGCAGAAAGAGACAAATGAATTAAGAAATAAACTAACTCAAAAGACTCCATCTAAGGAAGAAATAAATAACTTAATAGAAAGTCAAAATTTATATCATGGCTTAGTTATTGACATGCAAGAGATAAATCTCGCAAGTGCTTCATCATGTACCTATAAAGCACAGCCTAAAATCAGCCCATTAAATGCTGAAAAGTTTCAAGCAAAACTATTGCTTTCACCAAATCAAGTATATTCTTTTTTATTAAAAAATCACATTGATCCTTTCACCATTAGTCATGAAAATCGAATTTGACTACTTAATGTTTACAATGTTTCAAATTCAACAAAAAATTTTCTGTCAAATGAATCATTCACTAGAGATGTTTATCTAGAACTACAGTACCCGCAAATTGAATTGAATTTTGAAAAAGAAAAAATGTTGCCATCTTCAGAGTTATGTGCCGCTGTAACAAAGTCTTTGAAAAATCATAATCCTCACTACGAATTAATGAAAATATTTGAAACCTATGGTCACTTCTTACCTAAACGGATCATTATTGGGTATAAGTTACATAGAATGTCTTCGTTAATTGTGAAAGATTCACCAAAATCGCATGTTCAAGAAATCGACTTCGATGTAATGGATTTTGAAAAGTGTGACAATATTTTGAATAAATGGGAATGTTATATAAGGCCTCATGATTTTGATGCAACTTATTTGATATCAGTTGATGGAGAAACAGTTATGAGGAATGAGCTTGATATGTGGATGAAAAACTGTTTGAAGGATAGTCATGATTCACTGCGAGTTATAAATTGGAAAGAATTGTATCCACTGTATGAAATATTTGAAGAATCTCTTCAAAGAGATGTTAAATCTATATTTGGAATCGATGAAATAGCAAAAAATTTTGGAGTTAAAGAGAAAGTGCTTATTACAGGGGTAATTCCAATAGAACAATGTGCTTATCAGTATCGTGTAAAATTTCCTGTTAATTTTAAATCCAATAACTATCAAATTTTTGGAAAACTTGTGAAACATGATGGAGAACAAATCTCTGAAGCAGTTATCATGTTCAAATCTACTAACAAATATGGATTTTCTGCAAAGATTGAAAATTTTGAAATATCTGAGTGAGTGATTATTTTTTAGTATAATTTTTTTATTCAGAATAACATATTTATTATGCTTAATAATTTATTTCCAAATAAGATCCATGAGTTTGCAAGTAAATTGGATATTGATTGGAATACCTGCAGAAGTTGGTTTCTTCAGTACAAATACACGAGACATTGACATAATCAGTTTTGATAGCACTTTGATTACACCCTCAACTAATAGTGATAATTGGAATGTAATGCTAGAAGTCCCAAAGGGTTTATTAAGTCATAATATTCTTTTTACTTCGTTTACATACCCTCTGTCGAATCATGAGCCAAATTTCATAGCAACTTTGCAAGGTTATGATAACGAAACGAGAGAAATTGATGTTAATGTGTATAATCCGGAATTTACTAATAGATCTATCGATGAGAATTTTGATGATGAGAATTTCGTTTCTGAACAGAAATGTTCAATCCAATGGTGTGTTCTTAACCTTCCAGAAAATCGAAAGTTCGTCAAAGCAGATATTGGCTTCGATATTTCAATTGATTTGAGGACAATAGGTCAAAGCATCGATTATGATTTTACTTCATGAGTTTAATAATAAATCTGCCTTTGATTTATTATAATCTACATATTAAGATCTTGTTAATTTTTTAAACTTACGGATAGATAATTTGCTTGAGATTTTTACACGGTTTATAAAATAAAATATTATACACACTGAAATTTTCGGAGATACTTATAGGTGATTAAATTATTAGGGATGATTTATTAGCATAATTGCTTTTATATCAATTGTAAAATTGATCAAAAGATCATTTATAGTTTTAAAATAAATTCACTCATCTGCAGTTGTTATACATTCGTACACATACAAGATAATTTATATACAGTATATATCTAATGTTGGAATGTGGTAAACTAGATAAACTATGAAAATATCAGTAAATTGAACCGTTTATTAAGATCTGAATCTGTCCCTTATTAAACTTAAAAGCGACCGCTGAAATACATTTAAATAAAAACTTTTTGATAGTGACTCTGTCTGTTATAATTTTTTGCAATAATAATTAATAACTTTCTCAAGTTAGGAGTACTGACGACTTGACTTAAATTGACAACTTTCAATTTTAAATAGATAGGTATAGCCATATAAAAGTTTTTACACTTACGCTGTAGTTATAGAGCCTATTGCTATGGCACTTGCCAATACTATATTTGGTGTGATAATTAATATATACCCATTTTAGATACTGGGTTCTTGAGCCTGGACATATCAAGGAAATGCTTTAAGCTAAAAGCCGTGATCATTTCATTTAATATTTCAAAAACATATAAAATATTACATGATTGTGCTTTCTATTGGTTGATATTAGCTGTGTCTATAATGATAATACTGATATATGGATATGGAAGGGTTTCAATTCATGATATGCCACTAGGCATGCCCCAAAAAAGGCTATATGTTTAACATCGATTTAATATTAGAGTAGATTTTGATTTCTTAAAGATAAAAGTAGCCGTAATGGTATATAAAACTCAAATTATCGTACAGCTACAAACAAATATAGCTTATTAATGATTCAAGCCTCAATTTTTTTAATTGGTTATTTTGACTATCACAAATATAATTAGTATTAGTTGTGACTAACTGTCACTGGTTTTTAATGTACATACTAAGACTAGTCACTTTCTGCTGCGATGGTACCCAAATTCTGCCTGCTTTTTATGCGACTTATGCGATAAATTTTTTAGAATTATGATACAAATTATGCGAATCTGATATAAATATGCAAAATATGCAATCACTAGGATTGTAAAATTACAATCATTTCGTGAATCACCCAGGACGGCCATAAAAAATACGGGTCATGTGGGTAGAGCCTCCTGCCACAATTGCAGCAGGCGAATCAGTACTAGATCTATCGCTACAAAAATTTTGACCCTGCATTGCATGACCATATTTTTTATGGCTGCCCTGGTCGATTCGTAATTTCGTAACTTACCAAGAAAATTACTATGCTTCCCGAAAATTTCCGACAACCATGCTCGAACAGGAGCGACCGTCAAGGTTACACAAGCTGCCGATAACCTCCGGCCATCAGTCAGCCAATCAAAATTTCAAGGG